TATTTGATAATAAATTATCATCATTATTTTTTGTTTGCTTTTTTATGATCTTTTTCTCTTCAAAACTTGAAAATAAAAATAAGTGCAACCAAGTTTAAGATTTTGATTTAGCAAATAAAGAACATTTAATTGAGATTTAATTAGCAGACAAGATGACAATGAGGTGATCAAATATGTTTAATTTATAATTAATTTAATAAAAAAATAAGTAATTTTTGATGAGAATAATGAAATTTATATTAAACAAGATACAATCATGATTTCTTTGTTAAATAACTTATGGATTAGATAAAATAGATTTTATATTATTATTCAAGAATTAATAATATTATAAAATGGTCAAAATGATTTTGTAAATAGTAATTAGTTTAAATATATAACATAAAACATTAAAGAAAATTGTACATAATATAGAACATTTAATAATTAGAAGTATTTAAACAAAAAAATCTTATTTCCTAATTTATTAATAATTAATAGATGATGAAGAGTGCAATTCTAATAATTGCTGTGATGTCATCATTAATCTTAGCATAAAAATGCGGTATGTATGAATGATAATGATTTTAAGACACAATCAATTAACATTACAATGTTTATGCCACAGTTAATGAAACGAAAGAATGGGATATGCGAAAATTCTTCTTTACAGGAGAGAATTTGAAGTATAAGATAAATGGTGATTGTCCATACTTTGAAACTGTGGATCCTTTGTCAGAAGTAGGAGATGCAGTACCTCATGGTGATCGTATGAATATTTAATTAATGAAAGCTTCAATTGGGAATATATAAAATTTGAAGGCATATAGATCATTTGATAATGGAGCTTGGTTGAATGATTTTGTATTTTTGGAATAAAACAAAACTGACATAGATGTTTTTTATGCATTAGGGTATGTAGATTTTGTTGATAAAATAGTGATCCTCAGAAAATGGATTAAGTTCCTAGATTCCATGCATAAGTAAATGTACGAAATTCAACAGTGTCATTTATATGCCATGACTTAGACTTCTTGACAAATTATCTAATAGTGATAGATTGTTAATAACCAGATTTGGATGATCCAGTTCATTTGGGATATCATAATGGATTTATTGTCGTTGATTTACAAGATTCATAACATTACGATATTTCACCAAATGAACATCCATAAGGATATAACTATAATTATACAGAAGATAGAAAAATAGCATTTCATAATTTTAGTTTTTCAACATCTGAAGAAGATTAAGAAGAAGGAGGATTAGGTGCTGATAAAATATCATTATTACTTAGAGCAGAACCAGCATGGGCTACAGAGCATGCTGATTTAGGAAGAGATTAATTGGATGATGATTGTGAATTAGAAGTCTATAAATTTAGTAATAAGAAATTTTCATCAACTCCTGTTGCTTATCTTACTAAAATAGAATTGGCAGCATTATTAGGTACTGATCCAACAAAATAAAAATTTTCTATAATTGATTTCTAATTAGAACCAAATGGAGATATATATGTTCTTGATGGAGAAAATGGTGTTTATGTGTTAAAATTTACATCTCAAGCATTGGAGTGGAAATTAAAAGAACACATCAGTTTCCCTTATATAACTAAAAGTTATGGATTTGATTTCAATTATTTAGTAAATAATGATGGAACAACTACTAGACATTTAGTAATAGTATTCAAAGATAAAGCGAATTTCTATGAAAATGGAGTTATGAAATTTGGTATAAAATTACCAGAAAATGCTAATTATGGAAGAATATAAGTTTAGATGAGTTAATATTTCTTGATTTTGAAATTAGATAATGTTGTATATGTTTATCATTCAGATGATGGATAAAAACTGTATACATACACAAATGATTTATTTGATTCATTGATAATTAATCCATATGAACCAGATTTATTGGGAGTCAATAAAAATTCTGCACACAGATTCTTAATATCAAATGGATACTTAAGATTAAAGAAATAAGATAGTACTAATGATGGAACCAAAACATATACTTTAGATGCTATATCATTAGATGATACATCATAAAAATGTTCAGTCACTGTCAATGTGAGAGTCTTGGCCAAGAACAATACTTAAATTTTTGAATAAAGTAATCATCCATTCCCTCAAAGTATTTATGTTCCTACTCCACCAATTGCTATTGATTTAATAGCCTCTGGTCCTAATCTTTAATATTCATCATTAACTACTTTAGAACATCCAGAATTAGGAAACTCAAAAATTATCGTAACTATCAAATCAGCATGGAACTTATAATTAAATGGAATCAGATTACCTGATGCTAAAGAAGTCATTTATTCTGATATTCTTGTTACTGACACAGCTACTTAATTCTATTTATTAGTTTAAATTCCAACCAAGATTATTTATGTCTATAAATGTACTCATAGTTTATTAGATCATGAAAATGCAGAATGTACAGATTTTGATAATTTCTCTTTGGGAGTTTAAATAGACAAAAAAAAACATTCCTTCTATTGGTGGATCTTCATTAATTAACTCACCTATATGTATTAAGATACAGATTATTCTATTTAAATTTACACTAGTACAGGAGGATAAGTTAAAAATGTTGGTAAAATAGCTGTTGATAGCACTGATCCTCTTAATAAATTTACATCAGTCACCATGGTTAAAAATGAGATCTATTGTGTTTAGGAAGATAGAAAAACTGTCTAAGTCTATGCTGCTACTCTACCATTTAGATTAATCTATGAAATTAACATAAATATACTTAGTGAATACAAAATTGATGGATATTTTACACCTAAAAGAGTATTCAGTAACAAAAAAGCAAAAAGCTAACTGTTGTTTATTTAATCATTAAATCATTTATATGTAGGATAATTTACTAATTCTAATAGTTTTTCAACTTTTATCCTCTATCGTCAACTCAATATTATTGCTGATTCTCAAGTTGAAGTTGCTATTGGTTAAGATCATTTCTTTGTGGTTTAATAATTAAATGACACAAGTTTAATTGAAGAATACAATTATTAGCACATCTAAAGAATTTATAAAACTAAAGATTTACCATTATTTGATTATAAAATACAAAAACCTTTGACTGTCGATTTTTCATCACAAACAGGTTGGTTATTTGTAAGAGCAACTGATGGAAAAGAAACTGTTGTCTTGATTTATGAGCCTGGAGTTGTTTCTCATATATGTTTACATAAAGTAATAGAAACTAAGGCTATGGATATAGATGGTAAGACATTTGATATGGCAGTCGATGGAGGAAATTAGATGTTTTCTTATTTCAATAATAATACAATCCATAGAATAGTTAGTATTTTAGCTGATGCTGAATTATATATTACACCAGAACTAGAAACTTAATAATATGTTAATGAACTGTCAACAGGAGTTCGAGTTACTAATTATCCAACTAATGAGCCATATACATTATTTACTAAGGTTACAGTTCTTAATACTTAAAGTGATATTACTATCAAATAATAACTATTTACTTCCAAGAAAAAGATTTTCAAATTTGTTAAACAAGAAAAAGAATAAATAATTGACATGGGAACAGATTGGTATAGTGGATAGCAAATAGGTATAGTCGTTAGATGTGATTCATGTACGGGTGACTTAAAAGTTAGAAACAGCATTTATAGAGTTTTAGATGGAGCAGATATGCCATATGATATATCTGATGGAGTGTAATTTGGTACAGCAGGTTAAGTATATTAAACAAGAGAGGCATTGATTTTCTAGGATGTAGCAGGAAAATTCAAAGAAAGAAAAGAAATAGCAGATAAAAGTATCAGCTGTGAATTAATAACTGTTTCAGCAGATAATAATTTCATATTATCAAGTTATACAACAACTAAAAATGAGGTTGGTATCTTTATTAATTAATGTACAAATTTGGCAAATTGTCAATAATTCAAACAAGGTTCATAAAGTATTGGAGGAGCTAAGAAGATTTCAAAAATTGTAATGCCTGATACCAAAAATATTATAATTTTAAATACTGATCCTGAAAACTTTTCATCTACTGACAGTTTTATATTGGTTACAGCATTAGATTATGATCAATCCAAATTTACAATTTCTAATAAATTCACAATCAATGATTAATATGTTGGTAGCAAATTATTATAAGTTGGAGATTTCGATGTTATCAAATATTAAATAAATAGTGTTAACTATAATACGATTATCTTTACAGATATAAATAATGGTCTTTACTTTGCTCATTTTGCATATGATGCATAAGGTGTCTTTTCTAAGACTACTAATGAATAATATAAGTTAAGATCATTTTCAAATGATTAATATCATGTAGCAGAGGATGCTTTATTCCTCTAAGTAAAAGTATTGAGCAGTTCACTTAGTGGATCTACACTTTAGATCAATCTTTTAGTAACAACAACTAACTCAGCTCATTATTCTTTTGGATTTGATCTTGATGCATCAAAACCTACTTCTGGATTACCTATAATCAAAGCTAATACTGTTTTAAATTATGTCTTGACTCCATATGGAAATTGGCATGCAATTGATAAATTAGCTTATGTTAATGGACATGTTGCTATTCCTTATAGTAATGAATTGAAAGTTGTTATTGGTGTTTATGATATTCCTAATGATAGACCATCTGTTGTCAAAACAATTCCATTCAATCATGGAATTTGGGCAGATTATCACAAAGCCTTACCAATTGATTTTGCTCTTCTTTTAATTAAAGATGCCTAAGCTAAATATGTATTCATTTATTTTTATAATTTAGCCTACTTTATATACAAATATAAATTATGATTTCTAATCTGATGAGTATTTAATTGAAAAATATGAATTAAGAGCAGATCCTTAATTGCTTCTAACTAATTCTACATCCTATTCTGACTAAGTTTAATTCAAAATCTATTTACATAATGACTTTACCGAAGTTTAAGGATTAGCATATTTATCAACTACAGACCCAACCCCACCTAATCCTCCTGAACCTGATGATAGCGAAAGGTATTTTAATTTTATAACAATTTAGCTCCAACTGGTGGTGGATTACTTTGATTGTTATTTTTGGTGTCGCCATTTTAGGAGTTGGAGGATGGTTTGCCTATAAAAAGTTTGGTAAAAAGGGTGTTGATCCTCTTTTAGGATGATATGATATTTTATTCAATATATGTTTTTACATTCATAAATATTGATGTGTATATAATATTTAAATATTACAAATGACATATTACATTATTATTATGAGTATATAAAAACAATTATTACTAAACAATAGGATTTAAATAAACAGGTGAATTGATTTCAAATTTTCAACAAAGGTTCGGATTTTTTAGAAAAAAATATATAAAAAAACATATTAAACAAAAGAATTTATATAATATAGGCATCTGTATTATAAATCATTATGTTTCATTTTATTTATTCATTCTTTTAGGAAATTATGTATATATTTTTTGAGGAATAGTAATACATTCTTGATATATTGATTAGCATTCTGCTAAATCACCACCCTCCAATCTGAATTTAGATTAATTCAAAGGTAGTTCATTTAAGAATTAGTTTTACATAGCTTAGCTCTTTTAAATTGATTAAAAAAGTATCTAAATATCTGGGTCTAATGATTAAATTAGTTATAAATTAACCACTGATTTTTAACCTTAAGATACCACTTTTTCATATGCTTCAAATGCTTCCTAAATTGCTTTAGATTCCAATTACTAACTTTTCTTATTTAAATCTAAACATTTAGCTTTTTCTAAATCTTAAATTATATTTGGCTTCGGTAAATATTTGAATAATTTCTTTTATTCTTCTGTTAAAATTATATCTTTAAGTTAGTCAATCTAATATAGTTTCTAAATGATTAATTTTAAATCTAATTTCTCCATGTATTTTTCTTTAGCAATATTTAACATTTT